CGTCCTTGCTACTAGTAGTATTGCCAGGAGCTACTAGTAGCTTCTTGCTACTAGTAGTATTGCCCTTGTTACTAGTAGCGATGCCCTTGTTACCAGTAGCGTCTTGGCTACTAGTGCAAACTTTGTACACTTTAGATGAACCCTGACATACTGATAGCCATCTGGGCGCAAAAGTGGGCCGAGGGCTGCATAAGCCATGTTTGGATGGTAGCGACCTTCGGTAAGTCTGGGGCAATGGAAAAAGGCCGTGAGGCTTCGCAGAAGCCTGTGACGCTCCTTGGCGACCGGGAGCGAAGATCTCAGAGCTGGCTGAAGCCGGCTGTGGTGGCAGGGATCATCCTGCTGCTGGTTTGGGCTGACGTGCCCTACGCGGTCGTTGGAGCGCTGGTGAGCGATGGCATCGATGGAGGAGCTGGCCAGTGCGCTTCAACAACTCCAACAACAAGTCCTGGACACTCGGGCTGACAATCAAGTCCTTCGAGAACGACTTGCTACGTTTGAAGCACAAGCCTCACTCTCGCCACATCATGGTGGAGGGATCTCACCTGAGGTCCGGGAGATGGTGAGCGCTCTTCGGGGCTTGCCTGAAGCTCTTGGCAAGCTCTCGAAACCGAAGGGCTTGATCGACCCGAGAGGGTTGGGAAAACCTCAGATCCTCGGGGACAATGCGGATGAGAAGTTCAGGTTGTGGGCCATCAAGCTCGAGGACTACGTGAGCGGCGTCTTCGGTGGCAAGAGTCGGGAAGTGCTGGAATGGGCAGCTGGCATGGATGCAGAGATCACCCCAGCTGAGATAGATGCAAGCTTTGGAGGAAGCGCCGACATCCTGGAACAGTGGGATGAGGTGCATGAGTTCAACGAGCAGCTCTACACCGTGTTGAGGGCGACGACAGAAGGAGGACCCTTCGACCTGGTTGAGAACTGCGCCACCGGAGCTGGCTTGGACGCTTGGAGAAGCTTGCACCGCCGGTTCGATCCGGCCACTGGATCAAAGAAGAGGGTGATGCTCCAAGCCCTGACAAATCCTGAGCGGGCTAGCTATGAAACGCTTCAGGGGGGCTTTGGAGCGGTGGAAGGCTCTCAGGTCAAGGTATGACCGGAAGAAGGACCAGTTTGGGTCAAGAGAAGCATTGCCCGAGTCTCTCGCCATGAACGCCCTCGAGAAGCTGGTCCCGAAGGAGCTTGAGACTCACCTGATGCTGAACTATGCCCGCTTCAAGACCTTTGAGGAAATGGAGAAAGAGGTGGTCAACTTTATGGAGGCGAAGACGGGGTCAAGGATGATCGTGAGCTCCAACTTCTCCAAGCCCTCAGGGGGGCAGCTCAGGGCCAGTCCCAATGGACGTGGACAGCCTCGTGAAGGTCGTGTCGGGCAACATTGTCTCCATCGTGAAGAAAGGGGGGCAAGGGTGATGGCAAAGGCAACGCCAATAAGATCAAGTTCGATGGCAACTGCGACAACTGTGGCAAATACGGTCATCGTAAGCGTGACTGCTGGAGTAAGCCCACGGGAGCAGGGAAAGGAGCCACATCCAGGAGCCCGACATCAAGTCCGAAGAAGGAAGTGAAGTTCGCTGGCACCTGCAATCATTGCGGGAAGCCAGGACACAAGAAGGCCGAATGCTGGTCGGCCCAAGGAAAAGGGAAAGGCCAGAAAGGAGGAGGTGGCAAGGGCAACAACAACAAGAACTCCGCTAACGCCCTTGATCTTCCAGAACCTGAGCCTCGACCTGGTGATGCAAATGGATTGGAGCTGTGTGCATTGGAGGTGTGCACCTTGGAGGAGGCAAGAGAGAGAAGCTCAGTGCGCAGCGAGAGCCAACGAGCATCCACCCTGCGCAGTGAGAGTCATCGTGCATCGACCCGGACGAGATCCTCACGCCGAAGGACGGAGAGCTCAGCAGCAGACAGATCTGCATCCTCCGTTGAGTCCTCAGACTCAGTGGAGAAGCCCTGGTTGAAGTGCAACCTGGATACCGGAACATCGGTGACCGTCTTCCCCAAGGACATGTTCGAAGCAGGCGAGCCCAATGACATGAGATTGAAGACAGCATCTGGGGAGGTGGTCAAGGCCTATGGGAAGGCAACCGTCCATGGCAAGGACACCCGTGGTTTGATGCGGAAGCTCAATGGCGGTGGCCGACGTCCACAAGATCCTGGTGAGCGCAGCGAAGCTCCACGAGAAAGGTCACACGTCGTGGATTGGGCCTGGAGGAGGAGAGATCATCCCGCTGAACCACCCGGTGAGCAAAGCGATGATCACGGCATACCACAAAGCGGTGGATGAGTTCGATAAGATGGGCATCATCCCTGTCTATGAGGAGAATGGGGTCTACAACTTCTACCTCTACGAGGAGCGGCTGGAGCAGGGTGTTGAAGCACCTCGCACGCCAGATGGGGTTCCGACACCACGTACCCCTGAAGGCGGACCTCAGGCCGTGATGAACAGCACATGGACGGTTGGTGGAAGTGTGAGGCCAAGGAATTCGATGACAAGATCACCCCGACCTGGCTAGAGGATGAGGGAGGTCCAGGTGATCAGGGGGGGAGAGGCAGAGCAGGGCCCTGAGGAATTGGAGATCCATGAGGCCCGACCAGCTCGACCCGGATGGACGCCAGATACGCCATCCGACTTGGAGAAGAAAGAGCATGAGGCTTCAGGGCATGCGGTCTACAGGAGCTGGCGTCCAGAGTGCATTCAGGCTGCAGGTCGAGTTCAGCAGCATAGGAGGGTGCCCCGAGAGGAAGAGACGACCAGCACGGTGGTGATGGACTACTTCTACCTCAACGAAGAGGAAGGAGCACGGCCACATTGGCCCAGGACCGGAAGACCGGTATGACGATGGCCACTGCGCTCAATCAGAAGGGCGTAGTGGATTTGACAGGACAAAAGTTGCTCACGAGGTTCCTGGAGCTGTTGGGCTACAAGGAGATCGTGCTGAAGAGCGACGGGGAGCACTCGCTGGTCAGGATGAAGAAGGCAGCTGGCAGGGACGCCAAGAACCTGGTCAAGACCATCTGTGAGGAGAGCCCTGCAGGAGATTCAAGAGCGAACGGAGAGGCAGAAGCAGCTGTTCGTGAGATCAAGTGGAGGATCAAGGCCATCCACTTGATGCTGGAGAAGAAGTTCGATGGGGGCCTGCCTGAAGGCCATCCGTTGACCTTGTGGATCCCACGCTATGTGGCTGAGCAATCGAACCGCTACAAGGTGGGAGCTGATGGTGTGCTGGGCATGACTTCGGAGGGTGTCTTGAGGCCCCGGAGGCTGCAACAGAGGCTGAGGTTGGAGGACCGAGTGCAAGTCCGCAGACACCGACGACGACGAGGGCATGGCCAGTGAGGCGAGAGCACCTAGTGAAGTTTGGGCGAACAGCAGAATGCCCCGGGTGCTTGTCGATCCTGAAAGGAGCAGGATTCCAGCAGGTGGCGGCGCGCAATGAGACTTGCCGATCGCACATCAAGAAGCGATTGGTTGAGGAGCAGCAGACGAAGGTTGAGGAGGCCAAGAGGCTGAGAGAGGAGGACAAGGCAGAGGAGGCCTTGCGAGAAGGGAGGACAGAGGGCTCAACGCCCATGGACGAGACAGGAGGATGATCGAGCGGGAGCCGAGACGGAGTTCCTGCAATTGCGGTGGACTTGACTGGTGGGGCTACATCGACCTCGCCGACATCGACATCAGCCAAGAGGAAGCCAGGCGAAGGAGCAGTGGAAGACATTGAGGACCTCTTCCGGAGCGAGGAGGATGAGAGGGCGGCGGCAGCTGGTGCTTCACCGGCGACCATCGAAGCAATTGAATGGATGACCGAGCTCATGGGGAGTTTGGAGGCGGCTCAAACCCTGGCAGACCTGGCTGCAATGGACGTCATTGAAGTGTTTTCCCCAAGCCGAGTCAACAAAGAGGTGGAAAGGTTTGGACTTCGGCTGGGAGCAGCGATTGACCTGGAGGAGCTCAAGCCTGATGGGTCAGAGAAATGGGATTTGGACCATGAGGCAGACTTCCAGTTGGCCTTGGACATGATCGCCTACGAGCAACCATACTTGGTGACGAGTTCACCACCTTGCACGACGTTCAGCCCGCTGAGGAGGCTGTCGGACTTCAAGCGGGACAAGAAGATCGTTGAGGAGGAGAAGGAGATTGGCAAAGCACGGCTCAAGAAGGCAATGGCATGCTGCAAGCTACAGTTGGAGCAAGGTGGGTTCTTCTTGCACGAGCACCCCAAGGAGTCGACGTCATGGAAAGAGCCTGAGGTGCAAGAGATGCTTGAGAGAAAGGACATCCACCTGGTGCAGAGCCCTATGTGCAAGTTTGGCATGAAGATGAGCAATGATGATGGAGAGCAGTGCTATGTCCGCAAGGAGACATTGTGGATGACCAACTCCAAGTGCATTGCAGAGGAGTTGCAAGGTGTGTGCATCAACAAGCTCAAGGGGCAAGAGGTCCACAGGCATGTACACCTCATTGGGCGAGACCGTGCCAAAGCCGCCCAGGTGTACCCAGTACCACTAGTGGAGGCCATCCTTCGAGGACTGAAGAAGGAGCTGGTGAGCACCAATGCTTTGAGCGCAGTGGAGGAGATGCTCACGGGACCTTCCCCGGATAATGGCAATGAGATGGACATGGAGCTCAGAGCATGGGAGGAGGAGCAGTACATGGACGATGTGTCAGGCGCACTGCTCGATCCATAAGAAGGCCCGGGAGCTCGAGTTGCAGTGGTTGAAGAAAGAGGAGGTGTACATCCGAGTTCCTCGGAGAGAAGCCACTGGGAAGCTCCTGCAGTGGAAGTGGATGGACGTCAACAAAGGGGACAATGAGAACCCTTTCGTGCGCAGCAGGATGGTGGCGAAGGAGATCAAGAAGGCCAAGCCAGCAGAGATGCAGCTGGGTGGTGCCGACACCTTCTCCGCTACTCCGCCGATCGAGGCCGTGTACACCCTGCTGAGCGCCTTCATGTCCAAGGACCCAAAGAAGGGCGAGCTCAAGCTCGCGAACTGGGACATCTCCCGTGCCCATTTTATGGGGCGTGCTGCACGAGACATTTTCATGGAATTGCCGGAGCAAGACCGAGTGCAGCCAACTGACCAAGAACCCATGGTCGCAGAGCTCATGCGGAGCATGTACGGGACCCAGGATGCGAGTAAAATCTTTGAGGAAGATTATCAAGGGTGGCTGAAGCAGAATGGAGGAACATTTTGTTCACTATGCCCGGCCATCTTCAGGTTTGAAGAGCGTGGACTACTTGGCCTTGTCCACGGCGACGACTTCCTGGTGGTGGGGGAATATGCTCAACTTCGCTGGTTGGATGGCATTCTCAACAAGAAGTACACAGCGAAGTGGGAGAACCTCGTTGGTGATGGGCCAGGCGACAAGCGGTCAATGACCTTCCTGAATCGCCTCATCAAGTACATCCCAGATGGAGCGGACCTGGAGATTGAAGCGGATACCCGCCACGCAGAGATTTTGCTGCGAGAGTTCGGCTTCAATGAAACCACGAAGGGATGTGACATTCCGGAGGACAAGATGACCCAGGCTGACCTGACAGGCAATCAATGCTTGAGAGCAGGCAGGTGAGCCTGTATCGGTCCATGGTGATGCGCATGGCCTACATGAGCGTGGACCGCCCGGACCTCTGTCACGTGGTGAGGACCCTGGCATCGGCAATGAAGGGTCCAAAGATGGGTGACTGGCAGAGGCTGAAGAAGGCGGTCAGGTACTTGGTGACGGAGCCCTACCTCAAGAGGATCTTCAAGGAGCAGCCCATCAAGAAGTTCAATGTGGTGGCACTCTCTGACTCAGACTGGGCTGGAGATCTCAGGAGTCGGAGGTCGACCACCGGAGCGGTGATCAAGGCTGGAGAGCACACCATTTTGGTGAAGCCCTCTCCAGCTGCGAAAGCGAGTTTTATGGGACGTGCCGCACCGCGACCCACGCAGAGTTCGTGCGAGGAGTCATGGCCTTTTGGGGCTTTGAAGCTCGCAAAGTGCGGCTGATGGTTGACAGCTCGGCTGCAAAAGCCATAAGCGAGAGGAAGGGATGCCAACAGGCACGTTCAGGCAAGATACCTCTGGCTCCAGGACAAGGTCTTCGACAAAGAGCTGGAGGTGATCAAAGTGGCTGGCAAGATGAACGATGCAGATTTGGTGACGAAAGTCCAGCCGAGAGCAGTGATCCAAGCGCACCTTCAACGCTTGGGGTTCGAGAGGAGCGGACGCCAAGGACACAAAGGCCTGACTTAAGAAGGCCCAGGATCCAAGCTCCGCTACCTAAGTGCTTTTCCCTCGAAGAGGCAGCTTTGGTCGAAAGAGACCGCATCTGCCCAGGGGGGTGCAAACTTTGTACACTTTAGATGAACCCTGACATACTGATAGCCATCTGGGCGCAAAAGTGGGCCCAGGGCTGCATAAGCCATGCTTGGAACTAGTAGTATTGCCAGGAGCTACTAGTAGCTTCTTGCTACTAGTAGTATTGCCCTTGTTACTAGTAG